TAATTTTAAAGTAAGATAGGGCAGGCAAAGAACTTTCGCTAGCTCTTTTTTTGGAGTGAACTTAATTGGTAAGTTTCAAAAAATCAAGAGAATACGAAGTACTTTAAACTGTATAAAAAATCAAAAAAATTTTTTTATTAAATTGGCTAAGCCACAATGTCGATCATCCAAATTCGGGGTTGTCCACCATGCTATATTATACAGTACGTACTAGGTATTATACTACATAGTATTATACCAATAGTATAATATGGTATGTATAGGTGTATAGACTTTAAAGCCCTATCCGAATTAGGCAATAGAAGATATGGACATGAGCACTAGATTAATCCATATTTGTCCAAATGCCAACACTGACAATATCGATATATAACGAAATTAGGAAATTAAACACACATCATGAAAACATCACAATTTTTTCCTGACGAGTATATAATATTTCATTTCAACAACAGATTTTTCACAAACGATTTCTATTTTCTTTCCCTGACATATCCAATATATAATTACTCCGACATATCCAACATAACATATTCAACGTGACATATCCAGCATAAAAACTATAAGGTGAGCATTTGTCACTGAGTTCATTTAAGTGATGACGATAGTTTAGCATGGTAGGAATGCGAGACACGCTGCGGTTGAGTGAGTTCTGCATGCACATTCTTACAGGAAGTCGCCCATGAAGGTTTCTGTCTTTTGGATTCTGCATCCAAGAAGGTGCAATGATAACATTGTTACTCATTTCTTTTTTTTTTTTTTCTTTACAGAATAGTACCTCTATAATGGACGTATTAAATAAAAGTGAAATAAAGTGTCGAGAATACTATAATGACAATTATATTGAGCTGGTAGGAATTTATGAAGAAATAAACTTTATCAATACATTATGTAAAAAGAGACCGCAACAAAATCAAAAAGAACGAAATAATCAATTTAATTAATGATTTCGAAAGTCAACAGACTGATATAAAGAAGATTCTTTCTGTTCCACTTTCAATACGATCATTTTGCTACTATTACTTAACGTGGTTAAAGGTATTCTTGTTAACTTCATTTGTTTTACTGAGTTCATTGGTTTTTTTGTAACAACCTATGACTATCATCCCTCAGCTATCAATCAAACAGCAATAGGCTCAACCGTATTTTTATGTTATGAAACGATTATCGTCGATAGTATCAAAGATGTTGCTCGTGCCAAGAAAGTCAAAATTACCAACCGAAGAGATGTCATAATGAGAGGCGTCAAGATTGATAAGGATAAAAATGTTTCAATTGATGAAATCTTGATGAAGAACAGTGACTTTAAACCGTTTTAAGGTTAAAACCAAAACTTTAGAATAATTTTTAGAAAAGTCTGACTCGTTATTATAATAATTAGCACTTGTATCAACGGATCGGGAAATTTAGAAAGGATCTTTATTACTAGAAGCACTTAAGATCTTAACTTAGAAATATCTGTGAAGTTGATTAGATACAGGTACAATCAGATGCTTCATAATATATAAAAATTTTAATAAACATTTATTGAATTTGATGCACAGCAACTATTAACAAAAATCTGTTCTGAAATCTTTATAAAGTTTTTATTATTGCTTTTTAAAAAATACATGACTGTAATATTAACATTGTACATATGTACAATAAAGAATTTTCGCGAAATAACGTGCAGTAATTTTAAATTTTAGATTATTTGGACTGATTAATGCGCCACCAACCTGGCACACATTCATTATTTTTTCAAGTGATGTGGATGCATTTCGCTTATTAAAATGAAAAATATAAAAGTAAAATATAAAAGTAAAAATAAAATTTCTTAGCATTTAATTTTATTCTCATCGCTAGATAATAAATGTCGTTTAAAATTATGATCGATTCCTCATTTATGACAGAAAACATATATTTAACACTAACTAGATATCATGCTTAGTGAAAAAAAACAATAAGCTAACCACTACACTATGAAGGTCCAGTGGATGATTATATTTTTTTAAAATTGTTTTTTTTACAATAAACAGTTTATATTGTACCAATACGAAATACGAAATTTTTGGTGCTTTTTTTCTAAGATCTCAAATAAGGTCATTTCCAAAAAAAATTTATAAACACAGTATTGTCCGAATGAGAATTTAAAAAATCGACGCAAATCTAAAAATATAACTGTATATTCACTATATACGTATAAATTATTAATTTAATTAACTGTTAAGACTGTACGTATCGTAAAGTTCTAAATTGCAGATCGACCAATCAGAAGAGACTGTATTACTGTATTAGTAACAAATCTATAACTGTATAACAGTATAACGATAAATTCCAAATAATTCTAACGCTACGTAATATAAAAAATGTCTGATGATTCAATTATTCCTTTAACTGACGATACATCAAATGTTACTTTCTTCAAGAAAAGTAAGATCGGTAAAAATGTTCGTAAACGCAAAAAATCTCCGTCTCCTAGTGCTTCCACGGATGTTGCTGAAGAAGGTTCTGCAGTAGTAACAAAAGAACGTAAATTAGATACTTCACATCCTTTTGTGCAAGGTACAAAAAAAGGAAAACATACCGAGGATATCAGTGTCACCTTTTCCGCAAGCAAATCCGCAATATCGTCATTATCTCAAGACATCGCTACACGAAAGGCTGAATGGGATACGGAAACTGATCGTGATGCTCAGGCTTTGTTAGAAAAGAAACTAGCTGCTGAAGAAGTTTGTTCTACTTTACCATTCTGATCAATATCATTATATTGTATATTTTAATAATTATATTTTCTTTTCAGGCCGATGACGACAATCTTTATAAAGGTCAGAATGCTTACAAAACATATATAAAAAAACGTGATACTGCTGCTGGAAATGCCGCAAGTTCAAAAATAAAGTACGTATCATGTGTATTCATAAAAAATATATCTCGACTTTATCCAATTTAAATTATTTTTATTATAGAGCCGGTCCAATTCGTGCCCCTACAAATATTCGTGTTACTTCGCGATTTGATTATCAACCAGATATATGTAAAGATTATAAAGGTAAATAATGTTCGTGTTAAAAAAAAAACTTTTTTTTTTCTTGATATTTTATTTTTGTTTAATTGTTTTTTTAATTTCAATTCTAGAAACTGGTTATTGTGGTTACGGTGATTCTTGTAAATTCTTGCACGATAGAGGTGATTACAAATCTGGATGGCAATTAGAAAGAGAATGGGAGGAATTGCAAGGAAAAATTAGACAAGACAAAAGTGAATTTCTTATTGAAAGTAGTGATGAAAGCGATGATGAATTGCCTTTTGCTTGTTTAATTTGTAGGCAAGAATATAAAACTCCTGTGGTAACAAAGTATGCATTATATAATAAAAATTTTTTTTTCATTATTTGCAAATAATGATGCTTAATTCGCAAAATAGGAATCTCTCTGATTTCAAAAATCGTATTGATGATAATATGCTTCTGATTGACAAATTATTATTTTTTATTATAATGGTAATAAAATTCAATAATATGATAACTCCTTTTTTTTTATTTTTTTAGATGCGGTCACTATTTTTGTGAAAAATGCGCATTACAGAATTTTACCAAAAGCCCAAAGTGCTATGCTTGTGGTGCCGCTACCAATGGTATATTCAATACTGCAAAAAATATATTACAAAAACTGGAAGAAAAAAAGAAAAGACTAGCGGAGAAGGGGATTGAAGTGCAGCAACCGCAACAGCAAATTGATAGCGAAAGTTCTGCTGATGAAGAATAAAAGGATAAAGATTACCTTCAACTATAATGACGCTACTTCTTTCGAGTGTTCAATTTCTAATACTCGTATGTCTGTTCCACGAATGACTACATGATCATAAATACCAACTGGTGATTCCCAGTTATCAAACCGAAATTTAGTTTCCATTGCATCTGTTGCCTGAAAAGTTCCTTGGATCACTGTACTGAATAATAAGGCTTTTTAGTTCTGTCAAACAAAGGTTAACTTCATAAGAATATTTTTGAACGACCGTTTACGTACTTTTCATAAAGTCTTGCTGCCGTCTTTGGTTTTTTTTGACTCAAGTCTAACCAGAAAAGTAAAGATCTTTGTCGAAGATTTGCCGCTGCTTTAGAATTATCGTTTTCCATTTGTATAGATAGTATTTGGACAGCAAAGTGATATACAGTAAATCAGCAATAAATTAATTTTAACAAAAAAATTTTCTATATATTACAATATTAACCAATCAAAAATGATAACTACTGATAGCATTGTTTCACTAACTTTCAGATAAATCAACTAGTGATGCTATCAAAAATATAACATTTGTTTCTCGCCATCTTTGCGCCACACTCAAATCGGCATGTTATGGCACTCCCTATTCATTTTGGAGCACCATTGGCGGCGCCATAAACCGCTACTAGTATTATGGGAAATGAGGCAAATGAACTCATCCGATTGGAGGTTAGTTATGATGCGTGAAAATGTCGTGCAAAAAGTGATACCTACGAAGAACGAAGCTTTGTTCGATATAATGCAATGTCTGTAGTTCCACCGAATGATTTCCGAGATGGTGGAGGACATAATTCACGCATCGGGATAAGGCCATATAATTGGTTCCCATAAATTTCCGACACCAAATTTTAATTTTATTTTCAAAAAAAAATTTCATATTAAATAATTGTTAAGCAAAATACGACCCGCTGGGTTATGAAACTCAAGGTATTATTTTAATATATGATCCCAGATAAAATTATCTGGCCTGCATTAATAAATTTGATGTTTTTTATTAGACAAAAAATTAAGCAACCCGCAGATTTGTGATCCTATCCCGCGCGTGACGCGATTTGCCCATCTCTATTCATCATTGGAAGGTTTTAAAACTTTAATGACTGTTTATTTTAAAATTTGGCGCTCAAATAAGAAACTTTTAATATTGCCATCATTAGACTGCTTAATCGTAATTAATTATTTCACATGATTTTCATTGAAAATAATAGAAGTTTTTGCGTCATTTAATAAACACTAGATTACTGTTAGATATAGGTAAATTTCACCTTTATTTTTTTAAATTGAGTTTTTTTTTTTTTTTTTCCTACAATACCATAAATTTATAATCACAAAGTCCGCAACCCTTTTTTTTTTTAAACATAAAAAATCTCCATAACGAAAATATACAAAGTATTAATTTAATTTAAAAAGCCTAACACTTCATAACTACCACAAATAACTTCTCGACCGTCATATGCAAATGACATTCCATCAATCAGATGCTAAAAAATAAATATTAGAAACAAAATAAATAAAAGAAAAAATAAATATATAATAATAATATCATAGTCTGGGGAAACAACTTACTTGACCAGCTTTACCGACTCTCTCTTCATCGCAATGCCAGGCTTTAGCGATATATAATTCTTTACCATCCTTTTAAATAAATAAATAAATAATACATTAAGAATATATACATATTAAATTGGTAAAATAATGAATAATTACTTTTTCGTTGCCAGCTTTCAAAGGGATAAAGAACTGCGGTCGACAAGCTCCCTGACTAAATTCGAATATGTGTTATCTTATAATTGCTACCTATTGTTATTACTTGAATTAGCAGTTAACATATATAGAAAAATTTACCAGGCATGCCACTTAAATTGATTATGATCACCACATAAAATGTCGAATTCATGTAATTCAACTTGACGTCCACCCCAACCAATAATCAATCGTTGTCTATGTGGATCAATATAACCAATATGCCTACCACCCTCATAGTCTCCACGACCAATAGCATTATGGCCTACACGAAAAGCATCATGAGGAACTTGTCCATTAAATCTGTGCCATTTAGCGGCCTATTTCAAGAAAAAAAATAGTTAATATTGCGATATCTATATCACAAGAACACTTCTTCTAAAAAACCTACCCAGTGTTCTTGTGCAACAGCCATGATGAAATTTAAATTTTATAAGAAAAAAAAAATAATAGATTTATGAGAAAAAAATAATAAAGAACTTGCAATAAAGGATTTTAAAATTTTGACATCGGAAAAAAAGCAACCCTTTTATATAAAGTCTATCGTGAAAAGTTTGTTAAATGCAATTGGGAAGTGTCGGTATGCCCCTTATTAAGGCAGGGGGCACGCATCTAAATCAATACTAAATATGTATATATCGATATCGATATTTAGTATATTTAATATACTGTACGTATACGTATCTAAAATGAAATTGGTTTTTTTTGATCATTCGATTTTTGCGTCGTTCTCATAACTGCAATAACGATTATTGGTTAAAGTTAAAATCTAAAATTAGTAAAGATCATTACGCAGTTTTTCGGCGTTATAATCCTGAATGTTGCAGGCATATGAGATTATTCTAGCAAAAAAAACGTGTATTTCATTGAGGTAAAATGTATATATTTGAAAAACAATATATATTATTTTTAACAATCTCTTAATCATTATTTGAAACAAATTAATTATACATTTAAGGTGAAAAAGGGGCATGACGATGAGCATTAAAGTTATTATCAGATTTCTCACAAATACGTATAACAGATAAGCGCATACCGATCTAACTATGTTTTCATAACGTCAATGTACAGTATGTTAATTATAATAAAAACCGATTAATCCAGCCGCTGAAATTAGGAATATACGAGAAACGGGTTCAGACTTTTTAGAATCAATTTCAGAACTAGTCCCAAATCATGATATAATAGAATGTTGTTTTTAACGTTAATATCGAATAATTTAATATAGAGCATTTTTATTATAAAATCCAGGATAGTTATTATCTCTGGTAGGGTTGTTCGACCATTCGGATAATAACCAAATTTATTTTATACAATATACAAGTCTAATAAAATAAAATTTTAAATCTTTACTTTCGATTACTATTCAAATGTATATAAACTCGACCTGTAAAATACAACTAGTTATATAACATATACAATAGAAAAAAGAAATTGTGTGATAATAGGGTTTTAAACATTCATTTTGCATATTCTAAATGCTAATTTAAAGAACAAAATCAATATATATATATCAAATGAAACGTCCGCACTGATTTATGATTTTATCAAAATTAAATGCCTGCAGCCCTACGCGCAATTTTTTCCAGCGTTGAAGGTGAAAACCATTCATCTGGAACAATTTCAAGTATCTAAAGAGTTTGGATTATGTAAGCATAAAAATAACATAATTTAATAACATAATTCAAGGCGGGTAAATTTACCTTTTGATATTTAATTGCATTTTCCGGTGACCCATCTAATATACGTAGCAAACATTGATCAATCATATTGTTTATGACAAGTGGACGAACAAAATCTTCTTGGATATAATCTTTCCATAAGATAAGGTTGTTCATTAACTAACAAGAAACGTGTAAGTGTGTAAATATAAAAAAAAAAAAAAATTTAAAATGAATAATGTAAAATAAGTATACCTTGTATCTGCGCCAAAAAAATCTATCCCGTGATCTTATTGCATGTTCATCCATTTCAGATTTACGTAAACCAAAAGTATCAGGGTGTTTAATAGCCTGTACTACATTCTGTAAATTACTCGATATTGCCGATGTGAAATCCTGTCACATAAAAAGTATTGATCAATACAATTTTAAATTTAATCATAAAAAATATATATAATTTTAATAAATAAATAAATCTACCTTAAATTTTGGAGAATTTTTATCAACAAATTTTAACAATGATTTGCAAAACTCGATAGCAGATTTTGTTTCTTTGGATGAATACGGATTTAAAACTTTGATTAAATGAATGGCTCGTGGAATAATGACTTTTTCAAAAATTTTTGTTAAAATTTTATTGTCATTTTCCGAAAGGTTTGAAGATGAATTTATATCATTAACCCCAGAAATAGTTCGGTACCATTCCATCTTGCTAAAATCAAAATGCCCCTATAATTAACATGTTAATAAAAAATATTAGTCTAATATCTACTTTATTTTTAAACATAAATAATATAAACAGATTTACCATGAATGTTCTCCATAATAACATTTCATATCTCACATAAAATTCAAACACTCCAGGTAAACTTAAATCCCCATATGCTTTCGAATAATCTTCAGAAAATTCTTTTTTCCATGTATCAAATTTTAATTTAACCAAATAAATAGATTTGAAATCATCGTCAACGTCATCAAATAGATTGGTTTTATGATATGAAATTTCATCTATAAAAAGGTGAATTGAATGTCAATTCAAAAATTTACGATATTTAAGAATTTAAGAAATATTTATTGCAAAAAAAAAAAAAAGTATACCTATTTTAGAAGTCATATCCCTTTCATCGGCATCACCTAACTCATCATCAGTAGATAATCCTTCCATTTTAATCTCATCATCTGTGCTATATTGTAATCGTTTAGATCTTCTTTTGTCTCGTTGCTGTCGTCGACGTTGACGAACAGCATCACTAACACCAAAATTTACGGACGCGGGTGTCTTCACGCGGCCAAATTCATCAATTTCTTGTTGTTGCTCGACATATTCATTAATATTAAATTTATCTTTAAAAAGAAAATATTATTTAATTTCCTTTATCATAATAAAATTTTTTTTTAGCACAAATATTAAAAACGCACTTTGATTATCATTTGAGAATAATACTAAATCATCCGAGTCATCTTCCATTATTCTTTTCATGATTAACTCAGATCTTTCTTTAAGCATTGTTTCAATATCATTTTCTAATTTTTCAAGGTCAGGAAACTGTAAAATTCAATACAAAAATTCATTGAGTTTATTCGAACGAAAATAAAAATACAAACAATTCCAATCGCAAACCTATTTAGTAATTTCAAAAAGCGACAAAAATAGTGGACCTGTAATTCCAATTTTAACAACCTTAGCGTCGAGAAACTCGACTAGATCATCAACGAAAGTTTTAATTTCTTGAAAATACGTATATCGCTTCTTGGTGGTTTGTAAATCATTTTCCATTTGTTCACTTGATTTAACAAGACTGTCAATGTTCTTTTGAATTTGAACAAGTTCTGATTGGTGTGTATTGTGAAGGTACCGTAGTTCATTCATTTTTTGATCAAGAATGGTCTGAACTTCAGATATTGACTTAATAGATGTGACATTGGGAACTATACAAAAGATTAAAGTTAGGTACATAATGTAATTTTAATAAGGGAATTTTTAAGATACATACTTGAAATATTTGTAACAGGTTTTTTTGATTGAGATTGGTTTGTTGAAGTTTTAAGGAAATGACCTCCCTTTTTAATTTGTTCCATTTCCCATTGCATTATCTCGTCATCTTCATCGTCGAAATCACTACGAAATAGTTATGAGTTATATGAAGTGTAGTGAAACGAACAAAATTTAAATTCAAGTATAAATTAGAAATTATAGTTTAACTAATTAAAAATTAAAGTACGTACACTTCCATTAACATTTCCTTTATTCCTGCTTTTTTGAGACGCTGATGCTCTTTTTCTGCCTTTTTACCAAGGGGTAATTTTTCCTCCACATATTGCCCAAGTTCTAAAATCAAAATTGTAAATCTTTACAAAGAATAATTATAATGAATAAAAAAAAAAGTTAGACTAACCTTCATCTGCGTCTCCCATCTCATCATCCTCACGTACAAGCCTCGATTCTATCTTTTTTTCCGATACAGAATCAACCTTACAAAAAAAAAAATTCGAGGTAAGAAACCTAAGAGTTAATAAAATTTCAAATAACATATAAAGTAACTCACTTCTTCGCTGTCATCTAACGGAATGTAGTCCAGGAAGGCACTTTTTTGTCGTAACATCTCTCTCTTTTTTTTAGCAGCATGAATAGCATTTGCATCAGGTATTCCCGAAATTTGACCTTTGAAATTACATACATACATTAAATTATTTGAAGAAAATATAATCAAAATATTTGAATATATATATATATACCAGGTCCTAGAGTTGACGGAAATTTTTCTGCAATAACATTATCTTGTACTTGAAATGATAATGGCATGACAGGCGTTTTAGCACGTAATTCCGATAAATATTCTTTAGTATATGAAGGGGAAGATATTGTCGCTTGATCCAAATTAAGAGGGTCTGATTCCCTAAATCAAGTAATCAAGTAATCATGTCAGCATTAACGTTAATTATATTACTACAATCAAATTTTTACTTAACTGATTCAAATGTAATTGCTTTGATTTGGCTTGTACCATCCGACGACTCGCCGAACTTTTGGTCACCTTGAAAGTTTCATCACCTTCCTAATTATTATATATGAAAAAATAATAAATCAATTGTTGCACAGCTTAAATATCTTGGATCGTTGAATCATTACGCACCTCTTCGTTCCCAAAGCTCAAAACAGATTTATTATTCTTGGTTTTTTTCTTTGCAATTTTAGCAACGGGTACCTGCAAATCTATTTTTAAAACAAAGCTATTTAGACCCATTTTAAGTAAATTTTTTGAAAGTTAAATGAATCATACTCACTTATATCTTCTTCATCGTCGTTATCTGTTTTAGTGCGAATATTTCGATTCTTTTTTCTAAGCATCTGTTTCTTTGTACAATAAATGTTTTGTGAATTATGAAATTTAGTCAAGATGATATTTATCGACGCATGGACCGTGCATTACCGTAATTGGGGGATGGCTAAAGCCGTGTACCCACGTGATCAGGAAATGTGATTATTGAGAAACGTTATTGCTGGATTATCACATATATTAATACCGTATTCCGTTCGCCAAAGTACCCCGGGTCTTTTACAAATTTTGGCATTTTAAAGCCCGATCAGGGTACTTTACATGGGCGGGTATTGTACATAAGGGGGGTATATATATTGTAAAATACCCGGGGTATATAAGTAAACAAATATCTGCATTAAAAATGTAACTTTATATTACGTTATCAAAAATTTAAAAGTATAAAAAGTCAATATATAAATTCGTAATTGATTTTAACTTTACAATGGGTCGTGTTGCAAACAAACGATTTAAAAAAGCCAAGAAAACTATGTCTTCTAAAGTTCGTCGTTCATGGACCGTTAGAGAAAAACTTATGATTTTAGAATACCTTGTAAATAATAATAATAATATACGTGGAACTGCAAAGCGATTTGATTTGGAACCCAAGCAAATATGTGATTGGAAAAACAAAAAAGACAATCTATTGCTAGCTGCGCCATATATTAAAAAACTTCATTTAGAAAAACCAGCCAAATATCCTGATTTGGAAGATAATTTGTTTAATTGGATTAATGTAACAAAAGCTTGTGGTAATGTAGTTACACACAATATGATTACAAAAAAGGCTGTGGCTTTGTCTCAAAATGAATTTCGCTTAAGATATCCTGATATTATTTAGTTTAAATTTTCAAATACAGTAGATGGCTTGATGCATTCTTTGTTCGATATAATCTTTCTAATAGACACAGAACAACAATAGCCCAACATCTTGCACCAGATTTAATTAAAAAGCAACAGTCTTTTTTAAATTATGTGTTATATTGCAGAATTCAACATGATTATCCCTTAAAATTTATTTGTAATATGGACGAGACACCCCTATGGTTTGATCTACCAAACAATAGCTCTATTAATATAAAAGACAAAAAATCAATTAGTATTCGTACTACTGGTCATGAAAGATCTTCTTTTACTGTTATGCTCGCTTGTATGGCTGATGGTACTAAGCTTCCAGCTGTTTGTATTTTCAAATTAAAAAATATTCCTTGTGGAGATTTTCCACCTGATATTTATATTCGAGCTAATGAATCAGGTTGGGTAAATGAGGATAAGATGTTATGGTGGATAGAAACAGTCTGGACTTCAAGTAACTATCGTTTAAACAACCCTCGATCAATATTAATATTGGATGCATTTCGTGCACATCTTATGAATTCAGTAAAAAGCCGACTAGCAAAAAAAAATACAAATCTTGTTGTTATCCCAGCAAGTTGCACTTCAAAATTACAACCTTTGGATGTTGCAATTAATAAAAGTTTCAAATCTATGGTAAATTTTTATTTTTATTTTTATTTTTGCTTTATTATTATACAGTATAATATTAATTTATATATATCGGTATTGGTAAAGTTTAAGGAATATTACACTACATGGATGTCATCAACGATTCATACTTTTACACCATCAGGTCGTATTAAAAAACCTTCATACTCAACCGTAGCAACTTGGGTTAGAGATTCATGGGATAGAGTTGATATTGATCTTATTAAAAGATCATTTAAATGGTGTGGAATCTCGACACAAACTGATGGTTCTGAGGATAATATGCTCTTTGACTATAATAGTTTGTTAGAGCAAAATGAGGATATGGATGTTGATGATGATGAATATAGAGACGAATATTCTGAAGATAATGAATATAGAAATGAATGGGACATTACAAATGAAATTCATAATAACAATACCGATGAAGAAAACAACAATAATGAGAGTGCCAATGAAATCGATGAAATGGATTTCAATTTCGATTGATATTTTATTGGTTTCTTTTTTTTTTTTTTTATCGAAACTTATTCGGGGGGGTTTTTTTTTTTTTTTTAATTAAATTATTTATATTTTATTAAAAAGCAAATGCATTTATTCTTTAATGTTTATTTTAAACAAAATAGAACATTTATTAATCGCTAAAATAAATATGCTAATAAAGGTAAATAATACGTAGCCATAATTATTAATTTAAAAATCAATAGGTAATACAATATGTATAAAATTGTATATACCAAAATTAATTATAGTAAATAAATATACCCGGGTATTTTACAAGTCTAAAAGTTTGAAATCTAAATACTCATAGCATTATACCGGATATTTTACAGAAATTTATGAAGGATACAATACATGAAGTACTTTGGCGAACGGAATACGGTAATCGTCTAATTCGATCTTGTACCACGTACTATATGTCATACGAATGCATGCAGTTTTCTCGTTTTCTTGTCAAAACAAGTCTCTTTTTTTTTTTTATTCCCACAAGATAGTTTTGCGCAAATTTCAGCATTTTTTTTTTTTTTTTTATATATATATATTTTTTTTCGAAGCGAGTCAACAGTTCTACGAAGTTTCATGGTATTCTATTTCACACAAATACTTTCAAACATTAATATAAAAGTATTAACTTACACAAGAGTGTGTTATTAATAATTGTCTACGTACATATGTGCGTACCTTGTTAATTTTTTTTTAAAAAAAAAAACAAAAAGAACTCTTTAAAAAAATAGATAGCTTTTTTTTTTTTTAAATTGTTTTTTTCTTTAAAAAAAAACTTTTTTTTTTTGAGATATCTATTTTTTTTTTTCTTAAAAAAAACCTTTGACATTATGAATTCGTTAACCCCTGATCAAAAGCGAAATATTCTTTTCAATATTGATCAACCAATTGAGATTCCATTAAATGAGTTTGATGACAATTGGTAGCCTTTTGTGGGTTCAATTCAATTATAAAAATCATACAAATGGAAATTCATGGAAGACATACAATTGTCGTTTTACCAAGCATCACAAATCAAGTACTCGAAAGGATGGAGTATTTTCGGAAAAGTGCAGAAAAACTAAAGTTCGACCTGAAATTTATGTTCTGCTAAAATCAAGGTATATAGGTTAGTTACCGAACTAAAGGTTCGGGTTAAACATTATCCAGATTCACCTAATTATATACACACACTAGAGGATGGTGAGAGGAGCATGGTGGACAACTGTGGTAGTACAAACTTCCAAACTTGAAATTTGTGACAGGACCGATCTGTTCAATAAAAGTACAGGGATGATCGATCACATGAAATTAAACGATTGGTCATATTCTTGCACGTGATAATTAGCCAATCAATTTTTATAAAATTACAATAATGTTCGAATAATCTTTATTTATTAAATCAAAGATATCT